TTCCATCACCTCTTGTACGACCAACTAACCTTCTGCTATCGGGGCTTTATCATAAGGTGGTATCAGATGAACATGTCTTGTCCATTTGAAACGATTTACCTTATATAACATAGTAATGTTTTTATCACCATAGACTATTTAAAGTTCCTGGTTATGTCTTTATCTCCAATATCTTGTTATCTCGTCTCTACAAGGCCCAAAAACCGTTTAAAGGATTTTCTGTTCTAAAACTAATAAATGTTTTTACGTTGGTTTTGTGTCCACCTCTCACTTTCGTATGTTATTATGGGGAGAATTATGATCTTATAAACACTTGTTTTAGCTGCCTTCAAGAGCAACTTTGATTTAAGTAGCGTCGTTAGGTAGTAAAATGCTCTATTTCCGGACATGACTTTAGCCGTTCAATCTTTTTCATAACTGTTTTTGGCTGTTACCACTGCTTTTTTGACATTTGAGGATTTGAGTGTGTTGAATGAACTCAAGCATTTAAGTTCTTTGACAACTTTCCAATTGTATTCATTTATGAAAATGTTCTGTGTAATTCTTAGTCTTGGATTTTTGGTAACGACCGCATACTTGATCTAATCTTCTCTCACCTCAGGGACAATTTCTCCGGCCCCGATTTTAAAAAGGATAAAAAATGTCCTTCGTATATCTGAGAAATTGTGCAATTGTGTCGATATTAAAGAATAACAGTACTTTTAGTCTCTGGTTAGCGAGCCATTTGTTGATCCTGATCGGACTTTCCTAACTGCTTTTTCTAAAGCAAAGTTGAATAACAAGAAGGAAAATGAACCGCTTTGTCTTAGATCAGTTTCATTTTGAAACTCACCTGATATACTGCTTCTTCTTTTTTTGGTACATATCCTCTGTGGATGTTGGCAATCACGTTGGTCCATACAACTTTATTGACAGTTCCTCTAAATAGATCTATGATAGTCATTCCTACCCACTGTCTGATGTTCTTCAACCACGATGTCCTTCTGCGCCCTTGAGATCTTTTGTCTTCTATCTTGCCTTGTAAAATTAGTTAAATTAATTGATACTTCCCATTGCGCATCACATGCCCTAAGTAAGTCATCTTTCTGATTTTCACGATATGCATAATTTTGCAGATCTTTATTTATACGTTCGATTGCATTGTTGTTTGTAACATGATGGATATAGAAAATTCCGAGCATGCAACGGTAGCACCACATTTCGAAGGCTTTTAATCGGTTGGATGTTGCCTCCGTCAAGGTTCAAGCTTTGACTCCATATAAAAGGGTAGAAAATACATAGCATCTCAAGACTTGTGTTACTATATCAAGGTTAGGTGCATATTACATAAAATCTTCCTTAAGCTATTGAGGACAGCTCTAGCTTTATCTATACATCTTATTTTCTGTAAGTGGTCCCATTCCTTATTTAGGCTGCATCCAAGATATTAAATTTTGTCGACTATTTTCAAGGGTTCATCATTAGCTATAAATTGATGCTGTATTACGTCGCTTTTAGTTACTACAATAATTTTGGTCTTTTTACAGTTTAATTTGATGAAATATCTGTCACAGGCTTCCACGACACGGTCTATTAATGTTTTCAGATCTTTCGCATTATCAGCAATCAAAATAGTATCGTCCGCATAATCTTAAACTGTTTATGATTTCACCATTGATATTTATACCATCTCTTAAACCAACACTAGCTTCCCTGAATAGCATTTTTGAGTAAGTATTAAACAACTTCGGTGACAAAATACAGCCCTGATGTACCCTCCGTTTTATCGTAAATTCTTGTCTACTCGTACAGTTGCCCTTTGCTGTAAGTATAAATTTTTAATTCGGCGTAAATATTTGTCATCAATACTAGATATTCTTAATGTCTAAAATAGTCTTTAATGCTGCACCTCAAATGCTTTTTTAAAGTCTATAAAGCATGCGTAGACTTCGCAATTTACGTCTCGAGCTCTTTGTATCAATAATTGTTTGGAAAATAGAGCCTCTCGTGTTGCGAGTCCGCTTCTAAATTCAAACCAAACACTTCTAATGTTTTCTTTAAGTTTTCTATATATATACGAGAGTGCATAACAGAAAGAAGGATCATGAATGTGTTGCTTGTGTGAGTCCATTTCAAATAGGTAAAAGAAATAATAAATAAGACTTACTCACAATCAGTTTAATTTAGACGACCGGTTTCGCTTTCTACAATATGCATAGCATCTTCAGGTCTCGATACAGAGTTAGTTAAATTCTTAAATAAGGGTGTTGTCTTATAAAGATAAACAAAGATAAATGATATAAATTACAGTACTTATGCCAATATTACATGTCTGTGTTTTTTCGAAATGAATACTGTTTAAGCAGACAAGGTAAGACCCACAAATTGGTATAAAATAGTTTATTGAATTGTAATGAATTATCCTGTATTGCTGAATTGAGAACTTCAGTTTTTCCTATTGTAATTGTTTGGCAATAAACAGGGAAGTTCTTGAGGAGATAGATTTTATCCAATGAAATAGAAATAGGTGTAATGTGATTGTTTGTTAGATGAAAGTGATGTTTTATATTATTTAATTATTTAAAAGTTATTTATATTTATTCAAGAGAAATATTTATGAAATGTGTGTTATCTATTGAGATGATTTATACAGTAATTTATTAGTAATTTATTACAATTCAATAGACTATTTTATACCAATTTGTAGGTCTTACCTTGTCTGCTTAAACAGTTTATTTATTTTGAAAACCACAGATATGTAATATTGGCATAATTACTGTAATTTATATCATTTATCTTAGTTTATCTTTATAAGACAACACCCTAATATGGATTTTATTACTTCAGCATTTATTTAACTTTGTATCGAGACCTAAAGATGCTTTGCATATTGTAAAAAGCAAAACTGGTCGTCCAGATAATTAAATTAAACTGATAATAAGTAAGTCTTATTTATTATTTCTTTTACTTATTAGAAAGAAGGACGTTTAGTGCATGGCTGATTAAGTTTCTGTAATCAGAGCATCTGGTGGCATTTGCCTTTTTGGGGAGAGGGATGAAGGTGGAAACTAGCCAATCTGTAGGAAATTCTGCAGTTTCATAGATTTTGTTCAGTAGTACCGTTAGGAGTTTACGAGTTTAAGTTTGTTGTTTTCAAATAGATTTAATATTCAAGGTTGTATGGTATCAGGTCCAGGCGCTTTATTGGTTTTTAGTCTGTTTATTTCATACGTTCCTTAAATAATTCTTCCATGTATTGCCTCCAACTCTCAAATATTCTCTCATTTTCGTAGAGCAGGTTGCTGTGCTCGTCTAGTATTAAGGCTGTTTTAGTGGTCAAAGCATACTACGATTTGAAATGGGCGTATCACTTACTTTTCTACACTGCTTAAGCCAGCCGACTACGGTACAGCCAGTACAGTGGCGCCGGCCCACGGGTAGTTTAACGACAATAAATGCATTATTCTTCATGGTGTTTATTTATAATAAATTTAAAATAACATAAAAATATTATCATAAAAAAAATTGTTGTCACAAAGAAATAAACAATTTCGCAGTTATAGCTTGAAAATAATTTCAAATCGAACTAACTGACCTTACGTTCATGAGATTTGACGTCACGAAGCCGATAACGCTGGAAGTAAGTGCCAATGATGAGTCACACGTTTCACTATTAGATTTCAGTATTTTTTAGCAATTTTCTTCAAAGTTTGAACACGCTTTTCTCGATTATTACTGGACACAGAAAGGTGAAAAAAATTAACGATTACAGAAAAAAAACTCTTTCAAGTGATGGGCGCAAAAATTTTGTTTATAATAGAACGTTAAACTGCATAATCCGGTATTTCAAAAGAACTTTCAAAACAATTTAAAAAGTAAAATTACCAGTTTAAAGGCAACATGATTTTGAATAAGGTGTCCAAATTTCGCGACATTCTGTCGGTAAATAACAGAGAAAACACTAACTCTAGGTTTTGGTGTATCTTAAGTTATGACTTCGTGATCCGTTCTCCCGTTAAGTTTTTCATCTTTTTTGGTAGGTTAAAAGTGTCATGCTTCTGTTTTAGGGATTCTATTTTACTTAAGTTTATTTTTACCACTAAATTACAGATATTTTTTTTTATTCCACATATCATCCACACATATGTTTTCTTGATAATATCTAAGATTACTATGCTGTTTATTTTTTTGTTGATGTCCTCTTTGATTTCGTGACTTGTCGTTTTATCTTTCAACTTTTGGATGACCAGACGTTTTTGTGCTTTTTTTATGGACTTTTTCATATGCAGTTTGAAATGTCCTATTAAAAGATTATGATCTCAGGGAACATCTGTTCCCAGATATGTTTTTGTGGATTTTAAAAATAGTATATATGGACATGTTTTACTGACATTAACAAATTTTATTTTCAACATTTTCTCTGCGGTAAAATTGAAAATTCTAGCTAGCGCAACAATGCAATGAAACAATTATAAATAAACTTCAATCTAATCTATTATCAAAATATATGTTTGAAAACTAAATATCGAAAATTAAAAATCTCGAAATATTGTTTCTCAAAATATTTATACTTTTACACCTACTATTAGCAAAACCTTAATTTTCTCTTTTAGACGTAGGATGCTGCTGGCATTTCTACCTTTTCATAAACAAATACTCCTTTAAACATGAAACTGTTTTGACAGTTCTCAAGTTCTACACGCCAGTGCAACCTGAGTTAATTATGCATTGGTGAACAAACTTAACTTTTTGACGTTATCACAGAGGAAAGATCGAACAAAATAGTTTTGTTATGTAAATAAACAATAATAAATATTTGAGGGGCTGAGAGGAAAAGTGGTACAAGTGACATTTTGTATAAAAGTGAGATATGTGCATGAGTGGCTAGAGGATGTTGAGATTTATTAATATAAAAATGGTACAAGTACAAAACACACTACAGTACGGACATCTGTATGTGAGAAGTAAAAGCTCTCACCAATTTCTGGTAATGGTTTTTTGTATAAGTGGTCCAAGCGTACATGTCCCACTTTTGTTCTAAACCTTATGTAGTTGTTTGTGACAGCCACGTTTTAAAAGTGTGCAGGAATATTAATACAATTTGTGAAATAGCCTTAAAATATTGCAAGGTAAGTCTTCAATGCGTTTTATATTTTTTCAATTGTTATTTTATAGGGTTATTTTATTTATCTATGTCTTCAAAAAGTAGTAGTTGAAAGAAACTTATAGCATAACCTTAAAATGTTTCTTTTTTGTTTCAGAATCTGACAGTTATTCGGAATATGACGATTCAGAAGAGGACAGAAACTATAATCCAATAGAAGAAAGTAGTAGCGATAGTAATCATGATCTACAAAACATTGCAGATGTTCATTTAAACAAGTCATTAAAGAAAAAGGGCAAAAAACGTTTGAGATATAGCGATTTAGATAAGAGGCAAGTAAGAAAACGAAAAAGAAATGCAGGTGAGGAATACGTAGGCTATAAAAACAAGTTAGTAAAAGCAAGAAGTTTGCAAAATTATATACATACTTGCAGATTTCAGTGTCAAAAATTCACCGATGAACAAAGACAGGAAATATTTAACCAATTCTGGGGTCTAGGAAATTGAATCTGCAGAATGCATTCATTACGTCTTGTACAAAGATCGCTTTGCCCAAACGACGACGCACAGAAGCTGTTACTAATAAAGAAAAGAACGTTACTATCAAACTAAAAAATATGAGTGTTTGCAAAATGTTTTTCTTAAAAACCTTGGATATCAGCAATGGACGTTATTCGAGAATTTTAAATGGGATATCTGACGTTGGAATCGCCACTGTTGATAAAAGAGGAAGAGCTCCATGTCCTAATAAACTATCACAGGATGTAAATTGATAAGGTAAAACGACATATTGATATGTTTCCAAAATATACCAGCCATTACACCAGACATTACAATCCCCGTAGACGGTAGCTTCCTTCATTTTTGACCATAAGAAAAATGTATAAGTGTTACCTAGAGCATTGTCAAAAAAATAACGAAGCTCCTGTCAAGGAATGGTGCTACAGGAGAGTGTTTAATACCGAATTTAATCTAAGTTTTCATCATCCCTTGTCCGATACTTGTAATAAGTGCGATAAGTTCGAAACATCAATAAAATCGTGCACAAGTGAGTCAGATAAAAAGAAAATAATGTGTGAGAGAGAGCTTCATCACCGAAAAGCCGAATCGGGAATACAAGCCAAAAAAGAGGCAAAAATAGTGGCTGAAACTTCAAGAAATGAAGAAGTGGTATCAGTTTGTTTCGATCTACAAAAAACTTTACCTACACCAGCACTTACAACCAACAAATTGTTTTATATGCGAGTATTATGGACATATAATTTTGGAATCCATAATTTGGGCAAGAAATGTGCTTCAATGTATATGTGGGATGAATCGTAGCATCCAGAGGCTCTATGGAAGTTTCTTCATGTCTTTGGAAATTTATTGCTGGTCTTAATCAAAATACACGACATCTTATTGCATTTAGTGATTCTTGTTCGGGACAAAATAAGAATAAAAATATTGTGAAATTTTTTATGTATGTGGTCAAAGAAACTCAACTAGAAATAATAGACCACAAATTCCTTGAACCGGGACATACCTTCATGGAATGCGATGAAGATTTCGGAGTCATTGAAAAGTACAAAAAGCAAGTACCTTATATTTTTGTACCCAGTGAGTGGATGAATGCTGTGAGAAACAGTTCTAAGAAGTTTAAATGTGAAGAAATAAAGATGGAGCACTTCATTTCACTCGAAAACTTCAACGAGTACGTACAGGAAAATATTAAAAAGGATGATGAGAATAAGCAGATAAAATGGAGAGAAATAAAATGGATTCGGTTTGAGAAGTAAGACCCATTTACTATGAAATTCAAGTACACTCTCAATGAAGAGACTGAATTTATAACTGTTAACTGTATGAAGAAGATGCGTGGAAGAACACCTCAGAATATTAGTCTTAGCAAACTCTATAGTTCACCCATGAGTCTGAAGTATGAAAAATGGAAGAATTTACAAGACCTACTATGCTTTGTGCCACCAATTTACCATCAATTTTACAATCAGCTCAATCACACTGCGAAGAAGGGAAAACAAGGTCAGAAAAAGAAGCCAATGCAACCTGAAGAAAGAAAAGAAAAGGACAATGAAGATGACGATGAGGTAGACGACAATGATAAAATACTTTTGAGCGACTATGATGATGAGGAAGATATTTAGCTCAGTTGGTAGCACGTCTATAGGTTTGTTCCAACACGCTACTTTGTACGGTTTCGAAACGGTCACGAAACTGTTTGGCATCGATTGTATGCGCATGCTCCAACTTTGCACCGTTTGATTACCGATGCGAAGAGGAGACGAGTTGGAACGGATTTTGGCACTAAACAAAGCACCGCTTATTCTGTGGCACTGGTGATTGTTTGAGTTGAGTTCGGGCCATTCATTTAAAACAGAGGCCAAGAAAATAAAGAATTTTCTATTCGTTTGTTTGCTTGATGCCTCCTCGCTTGCCATGATACTAAAATAAACAAGATAAGTCAACGCGCATCTTACTGTGACGTAATCCTGAGTCTAATTTAATGACAGCAAGTTAATTGCTATGCTCATGTTTATTATGTTGCTGTGTTATCGAGTTTTCTATCCTGTAAATTTTAAAATGTAGTGAATGATTTATTTATTGATGTAGTAAAGTCGTTGTATATTATATTGTTATATAAATCTTGTGGTGAAAACATTCAGTTTACTATGGTAATATCACCCAATTTGTTTGTCGCATGCAACTTCCTCTCAACTACCTGTAGCTACTTTATAAAAAAGACTAATAATTATTTGTTTGCCATAATGTATTGTGCAGTGGTGGGTTGTTTAAACAATAATAATAAAAAAAGTAAAACTTTTTCGACGTGTCGTTTTTTTGAGTTTCCTAGAGACAAACAAATGCCTAAACTATGGATCTCCAAAAAATTTAATGTAGAAACCGCTAGAATATATGGTATTGGTAGGAAGAAGATAATATTCGTATTTTAGGCTTACGCAGACTTATTACAGTTTTATTTGAAATGTCTTTAATTTTCCAAATGAAACTTGGGTATTAGTACTGCATATTTTAGGAATAAGCTGACTGTATGATATCCTAGGGCTGTTTTTTTTTTTATTAAATATGTAGCTTTAATGGTTTTAATTTTTTTGTAGGCATATGCCATCTCAAGTTTAATAAAAATTATGTAAAGTCTTTCCTTTTAACTTTAAATTTTTCCATTAGCTGTTTTATAATAAAAATTGCTATTGTCAACTTGCCTATATATATATATATATATATATATATATATATATATATATATATATATATATCCAAATTAACTTTAATCTACTTTTATTTCTAGAAAGTTGAACTAATTTGTGTTAGATTTCACCATGAGGTGAAAAATTTTCTGAACAAAATTAAGCAAATGTTTACTGGAAATAACTATTTCAAATCAAATAAAACACTAAATAGCTATTTAACCTCACTTAATAAATAAAACGGCCACGCGAGACGCGAACTAAAATGTGAATTTTTGCTGATGTCGCTTAATGCGCAGGTCAGTCCAAACGTGGTCCAAACGGTAATAGGTTTTGCCCGCGTACTGAAATGACGGTTTCGAAACCGTACATTGAACGATCACGAGTTGAGTTGGAACGCCAAAGGGACGGTACGATGAACGGTCCATTTTCAGTTGGAACGCATTTTATGTATTGCGCAGAAGCGTTACCGTACACTGTACGGTTTCTGCATGAGTTGGAACAAACCTTATATAATATCATTTCGTTATTATTTTTATGCATTTTTTGTTCCTGTATTTTTGTGCAATATACATTTTGTTTTCGTATCTAATGTAGCTTCTTAAATAAATGTTTAAAAAATTACGTGTATTTCTTTTATAAAAGATATTATTTATTTATTTACTCATGGTAATATTTACTTGTACCATTTTTACTCTAAACAACAAAAATGGTACCTACATGTACATTTTGTAAAAAATGTTTCAAAAAAATTAAATGTATATGATTGTAAAAACTGCACATGAAAACATTAAGAACTTACTAATAATAATATCTTGATTAGATTTTAAAATTTTATTTGGTCTTTTTGTGCCACTACTTAAACTTTAACTCTCATTTTCCCAAAACTATCTAAATGTCACTTGTACCACTTTTCCTCTCAGCCCCTCATTTAAAGTTGTCTTAATATTTATTTTTAATTCTATACATCTTTACTTTGCAATAATTTTTGACACTTTTAAAAATAAAGACAGATTCGGATTCGATACATGTACCTGAACTAGTAAACATTTCCTGAATTTTAAATGGTTTAAAATGTTTTATTTTTTTTATTTCAATGTATATGGGAGAAGGTTTTTAAACAAAATTCATAAATTTTTTTCTTCTTTTTCTTCTATTATTTTTGATTTCTTAGAAAATTGCCGTTACATATATGTAACGCTAAAAAGATATAGGAGCAAAATATTTAAAATATTCCGTATTATAAATTTAAAAATAACAAACAAATAATATAAAACAAAATGAAAAACATAATCAGATTATTTTAGATGAAAGTCTATGTTGCAGTCATGCATAATCCCACATTGGACTTGCAACACATGGTACGTACATGCGATCTGCAGCCCTCACGTGCACAACGTCTTCTCTTTTTATCAGGAATATAGGTCAGGATATGATCAATTGATCAACCTTGTCATATCTTATGCTGGCTACTTTGGACGAAGATGGCCTGCCTGTACCTTTTTGTTCAAGCATTTTGAATAGTTATATCCACCATATATGTAAATAGACACCACCACCATTTTTAGAGCGAATTCCTACTCGGTATCTAGCTACATTTTGGTCCATAAGGTCAGTTCCTCCCATTGACGAATTATATTTTCCAATCAAATGTGGACGTGGCACCCGGACAATTTTTTTTTCATCCTGATAAAACCGTTTTACGTTATTTACGGGAGCGACTCCACAGCAGGTTAAAGTAATTGTAACAATATTGTTGTCAAGCCAACTAACGAAAATTATTCCATTTTGGCGTACTAATATAGAGAAAAACTCGCTT